GGTCCTGGCTTAACTCCTCCTGGATGAGCAGAGCTGTTAGGAAGTCCTAAAAAATAAAGGTTGAGGTTTATCTCGGTGGGAAGGAGCGGGCGAGGAGGGGTGCTGAGGTCGAGGGGGGCAGCCAGGCAGGGTTGGGGCTCGGTGGGAGAAGTGAGAGACCCCGGGCAAGGTGGGCACAGGGAAGAAGGGGGGGGATGGCTGGGGTAGAGGGGGGTTATTGGTGCTGGAGGAAAGCCCGTGCCGTGGAAATGCGTGGAGTGCTGGGGGTTCAGCAGGAGGTCCCATCGCTGGGAGGTCCCATCACGCCTGGCTTTCACACAGCCCTGCCTGGGAACACCTGGTTTAAGAGGGTTTTCTTTCTTTTTTTTTTTTTTTTTCATTTTGTTTTGTTCTCCTTTGTTGTTGTCTTTCATTCTTCTTTACTTTCAAGAAAAGGAATCTGTGCAGTCGAGGGGGAATTCTGTACAAGAAGGGTTTTGTCAGCTGTTGGCAGTGATGAGGATTATGGAAAAAACGCATATATGGTTAAGTGGTATCTCCTATCACCATTAGAATAATGTGAAGAATTGCTTACAAGGACCCTGTCAATTATATATATATATATATATATAAAAATATATATATATAGTTTTGCATTTTTTTTTTACTCTGTGGTTTGTAAGATCCTTTTAGAAGCTTGGAAATAAAATTTCCTTCCCCACCTATTTTCTTCCCCTCTTTTTTTTTTTTTTTTTTAATTTGGGAAAACCCAAACTTGTCTTTCCTTGTGTCCCTAACATGTAGCGACCATAAAACTGAAATTCCACCTACCTGTCTCCAGCAGGGGAGGCTCAAAGGCTGCCCAGGTTGGGGTCGGGGAGGGGTTATTGTATGAATTCCTGGCGTGGCTTGGTTGTGTGTGCTGTGGGTATGGGGGCTCCTCTCTGCTGGTGGTTGGTTGGAAGAGTCATCTGGAGGGAGAAGGTGATGGAGAATGGGTAACGTTTACTTGCGGATGACTCTTGAGTTCAAGGAAGATGTCAGGTTAAGCAAAGTCCTTGGAAAAGCACCAAAATCCCTGTTTCTCACCAAGGGTTGGGAGATGGGTCTGTGATCCAGCTGAGCCTGCTCCATCCCTGGCATGGGGAGCAGTGGCCGTGACTCTGGTGGCCCCAAAGGGGTGGTGCACCTTCTCCTGGGGCAGCGAGGTCCGCAGTGTGCCACCGGCCGTGGGTCAGCACACGAGGCTTCCCCTGCTCCCACCGTGTCAGCTCGGGGTGCTGTTTTCTCACCTCCTTTGGCTTCAGGGCTTCCCCCCATCCCTTGGGTAGCCTGGGGCTGCCCGTACCCACCGCTCCCTTCCCTGGGGGGGGACAGACCCAGCACCCTCCCCACTGCCCCACCACACCGATGGGGTTGGGGGAGGTGAGATCTCAAGGAGGTTTCCCTCGGGTTTCCTGGGGCTGTTGGGTTTTCCTTTTCGTTGGGTGAAGAGCAGAGAGGAGGTGTGTGGAGCAGAAGCTCTAAGGATGCCTTTGAAGGAAGAGATGACTTCTCTTTTGTTTTTCACCCGAGAGGTGAGAGGAGCTGGTGGGGGGGGCAGCAGAGGGGGGGGGCTGCTCTTTTTAATTGCAAACAGCGGTGGGAGTAACGCTGAGTGACCCCACGGAGCAGAGAGGACCCACGGAGGGAAGGGACACCTGCATTGTCCTCCTTCTGGAGCTGAAGCTCTCTCAGGGTGACCTGACCTGAATTCAGGTGTGTGGTTTCTCTTCAAAGGAAGCCCAGTGAAACTCACACTGCTGATTTTAAACAGTGAAGCACAGAATGCGTTTATTATTTAATTTTTAATTTTTTTTTTAAATTTAAAATAAACACAGCCTTTGGAGAAAATAGTGGTTTGTAGTAACCGAAGGCCCTTTCTCCTGGCGATGAAGTGTCTCCGCCTTTTATCTGCTCTTCTAAACTTGAATTGAGCACACCCATTTTAAGGGAGTCATTAGAAAATTCCATGAGGTCTGGTTCAGGCTGGGTTCATCTGGAGAAGGATACGAAATAGCCTCGTTATTTTAATCCTCTTTAATTTCCCTACTGACTACTTGGGTACCAGACAGAGGGGAGGTAACACCTCCAAGGCAGGCAACTGGGGCACTCTAAAATTAGCCATTGCCAGGTGTGGTGCTCACTGGAACCTGGGCTGGGGGTGAGTGGGAAGGGGGTTGGAAGACAAACGTTGGGTTTATTTTCAGAAGGAATTTCTAGCTTGTCTGAGAAGTGCAGCACAGCACACCTGGCCACCGAGGTGGGCTTCAGCTATGAGGACAGGCTGAGAGAGTTGAGCTTGTTCAACCTGGAGAAGAGAAGGCTCCAGGGAGACCTTGGAGCCCCTTCCAGCCCCTCAAGGGGCTCCAGGAGAGATGGGGAGGGACTCTGGATCAGGGAGGGGAGCCATAGGAGGAGGGGGAAGAGTTTGACACTGAAAGAGGGGAGATGGAGCTGAGATGTGGGGAAGAACTTGTTTGGTGTGAGGGTGGTGAGAGCCTGGCCCAGGTTGCCCAGAGAAGCTGTGGCTGCCCCATCCCTGGAGGGGTTCAAGGGCAGGTTGGAGGGGGCTTGGAGCAACCTGGTGTGGTGGGAGGTGTCCCTGCCCAGGGCACGGGGTGGCACTGGGGGGGCTTTAAGGTCCCTTCCAACCCAAACCATTCTATGACTCTATGAATCTGAGTCAGCCCAGGCTGCTGGCACAGCCCTAGGCTCCTGCCATAGTCCACTGGGATACTCTCAGTAGGCACCAGTAGATCTATACTGGGTCAGATGAATGGTGACCTAAAGTGGCCTTTTGAATGAAAGAAGGCAGCTGGGGCAGCCAGCTGAGCTGCAGTGTCCACGTTGTACCTGATGTTAGGGCAGCAGCAACCCAAACCATTCTATGACTCTATGAATCTGAGTCAGCCCAGGCTGCTGGCACAGCCCTAGGCTCCTGCCATAGTCCACTGGGATACTCTCAGTAGGCACCAGTAGATCTATACTGGGTCAGATGAATGGTGACCTAAAGTGGCCTTTTGAATGAAAGAAGGCAGCTGGGGCAGCCAGCTGAGCTGCAGTGTCCACGTTGTACCTGATGTTAGGGCAGCAGAATCCTTCCTGAAGAGGCTAATTCCCTCGCGTTTGCCTGTGCTGACAGATAAAAGCAGATCTAAGCTGCTTAGGACTTGCTCATCATTGGTGCTGAGTACTTTTAGCCCTGTGCTGAGATGGTCCCAATATCCACAGTGTGGGAAGTGCTCAGATACAGAATCCTTCCTGAAGAGGCTAATTCCCTCGTGTTTGCCTGCACTGACAGATAAAAGCAAATCTAAGCTGCTTAGGACTTGCTCATCATTGGTGCTGAGTACTTTTAGCCCTGTGCTGAGATGGTCCCAATATCCACAGTGTGGGAAGTGCTCAGATACGCTTGGGAGCCTTACAGTGTGGGCAGTGAGAAGCTGCTGGGCCGTGCTTGGCTCTGCCAAAGACACCACGGCTGTTTTGACTGCAAGCTCTGGCGAGCAGCGTGCACAGAAAGGGTGAGGAGCCTTCTCTTCACCTCTCAGATCTGTCACAGCAGTGTGTGTGAAGGTGACAATTCAGTGTTAAATGTTTAGAAAAAAGAAAACACTCAGTGGCTTTAGCGATGGCTGTTTTGACTGCAAGCTCTGGCGAGCAGCGTGCACAGAAAGGGTGAGGAGCCTTCTCTTCACCTCTCAGATCTGTCACAGCAGTGTGTGTGAAGGTGACAATTCAGTGTTAAATGTTTAGAAAAAAGAAAACACTCAGTGGATTTAGCGTATCATAGAATCACAGACTGGTTGGAGTTGGAAGGGACCTTAAATCCCCCCCAATGACACCCCCTGCCCTGGGCAGGGACACCCCCCACCAGACCACATTGCTCCAAGCCCCCTCCAACCTGGCCTTGAACCCCTCCAGGGATGGGGCAGCCACAGCTTCTCTGGGCAACCTGGGCCAGGCTCTCACCACCCTCACACCAAAGAATTTTTTCCCCAGATCTCATCCAAATCTCTCCTCTTTCAGTTTGAAGCCATCACCCCTCCTCCTATCATAGAATCATAGAATTGCCCAGGCTGGAAGGGACCTCCAAAGGCCATCTAGTCCGACCCCCCCGCAGTCAGCAGGGACGCCGTCAACTAGACCAAGTTGCCCAGGGCCTCGTCGAGCCTCTCCTTGAATATCTCCAGGGATGGGGCCTCAACCACCTCCCTGGGCAACCTGGTCCAGTGCTCCACCACCCTCACAGTGAAGAAGTGAGTGTGCTCCTCAGAATGCACACGCCGGGTATGGACTGACCAGTGGACGCTGCCTTTTTGAAGCACATTGCAGTTGGCAGCTGTTTTCATTTCACCCCATGGTAAAAACCACTACTCTGAAAAGAACCAGTTTGTGCAAAACGAGTAACCGCAAGATCTTTGTTTCCTCATTCCCAGAGCCCAGGCCTAGGTCTGACTCAGAAGTTATTAATCTTTGCTGGATAAGAAGGGATGCAGTGTTCTGTGAATACACTGTCTGCTTACTAAGTACTTTTTTCAGGGATAATGACAAATATGCTAAGTACTCTTCACTGGGGATGGTTATCGGTTGTATTACGTATAGTTCACGTTTAATAATGACTTTCTAATTCCTGCTGGGTAGCTTGTAAGGACCAACGTGGAGGCGAGCGAGCCCAGCCACGCGTGTGGATCCAGTTTCCAGCGATGGACAATAACCAGCCCAGTGTTAGCAACCAGCACAGGGGATATCAAGTGCCTTCAAACTTGCAAAATTATATCCTCTCATCACGCACAGTAAAAAAAAGGATTATAATTTATTATTAAGTAACATATTTCAAGTTTATGCGGAATTGAGACATTAGGAAATGTGTTAACCAGAGAAGAATTCAGAAGGTTCCTGTACCAATCGGAGCGTAGGTTAAAAGAATTTATACAGTGAATTCGTACTGATTAATTCCAATTTTTTTTCCTGAGATACAAACACTTCAGACTTCTTGCTGTGCAGCCCAGTGAAGCCTTCAGGCTCCTTCCTGTCTCTGCTTCCAAGCAGCAGCAGTATTTTCTAGTTGTTTTGCATGGATTCAGCTCGGTGTCTTTGTACGTCAGCGTTCAAATCAAGATCTGAGTAACTGCCTTTCTTCTGCCTTCCTTCTCCCTCTAAAACAAAGGAAGGAGCCTCTTTTTTTTCGGGCCATGCTGGTTGTTAAAGAGAAGGTTAAATACAAGAGCTTCACCAAAGGTTCCTCCCGCTCCTGCTGAAGGCAATGCACTCGGTGGTTTGTTGTCATGTGCATTCAATCAGCAGATGGAGAAGCGCGCCCCGGCCCTCTTGGCTGTAAGCTCTCCACGGCGTCACGTCACTTTAGAAGCTCAAGCTCTAATCAGAAGAAACCTCAGAAGCAAAGAATGTCAGTATTATATGGGACTCAAAACCCACAGGCATCTCCGTAGCTTGTGATTTTAAAGGTTAAAGGAGGTCAGTTAAAAAAGCAACCTACTAGCCAACTGGTTCCAATTAGGTGAGGCGGTTGTAGGACATAATCAATAGAAATGCCATGTTGACTTCACTACTAGTTACCTTGACCTATGGTCTTTTAAAGTAATTAGCAGTCAGTGTTTGGACTTTCAAAGACATCAGCAGGACCACAAAAAGGACTGCATGACATAAACACACTTGTTTTGGCTTTAATTAAAATAGGAGAAAAGTAAGGGTATAAAAAAACAACGAGAAGGGCACTTGATATAAAGGCTTCTTGATGGAATTGCGACGTCAGGAGAGTTTTATCTGTTTTTCTCAGAGTCAGGATCTGTAAACGAAGAAAGAAGAGTGCTTTAGAGTTCTTTTCTTCATCAACAAGGAAAATACTAATTGAACATAACAAGATGAAATGTCATTGCTTTCTTTTAAGCTTGGAAGTAGAGAACAATCACTGAATAATTATTTTGATTGCCAATTATCTGCACTACTAGCCTGCTGGTGTGCTCTGAGGCACCTGTGCAATCCTTTCTGAGCTGGGTTTTGCTGCCCATCTGAGGATACAGCAGCTTCCTCAGCATTCAAAAGATATTTATTAATTGACATAGCCTCCAGATTTATACAGTTTTAATTACTGTGGGAAAGTACAGGAAGGCAGCAAGGAGGGTCTGCTCGTTGCACACAAACATCTTCTAAACACTGTGGAATTCACTTGAGTGCCCAGTGCCTCAGCATCCTTTTTCCTAAAAATGGGAATGTTGACATTCTTACAGTACTGTTGATAAGTTTTAATAGGTGGAAAACCTTCTGAAGTCACTGATTGCAAATCCTGCAAAAAACTGCAAAGTCCTGCTTGCTTTGGTTACCTTGGTTATTGTTTAAAATACAGCTAGAAAATACAGTTTTCTTTTTGATGGGTTCATCAAAATCTATAGCATTTGAATGGTTATTTAACTCTTAAATATTAGATAAGGAAATTTAGTGTGCTCAGTAAGATAACTAGCAGGTGTATTTCTGAACTGCTGGCACATCTGCCATGAGGGGAATAACATATAACGTAGGAAGTGTGCAGGGAGGTCTCTCTAGAAATAACACTATTATTACTTGATGCAAACATCTGATTCAAAGCATGATTTTATATTCTAAGGAGCATGCTGCCATAAGCAAGTAACTTGCTGTTTCTCCCTGCTTGAGACCCTCCAGCTCCGAGCACTGGCTCTGATGGCCACCCAAGGTGATGTGCCACTGGTGGAGAAGGCAAATCCTGCCGTGGATGAGGAATTTCTGGCTGCTGGAGCTCCCAGGCTGGAGAGAGCCTGGGAAACCCTCAGCTGTAAGGAGCCGAGCAGTTACTAGGTGTCACTGTCGCCCCAGCCGACACAGCCCTCCCTTGGCAAAAGCCCAGGGAAGTGGAAGCCAAGGCCAAGAAAAGAAAGGGAAACTCGCTCCAGCTGAAAGAGGTTTGCTATGAGAATATTAGCTGTGGTGTAAACAGAACATCTGAAGTCTTCCTCCGGAGTGAAACAACTCATTTGGCATCTAGCATTGTTCCCAGGCATCACAAGTCTTTTAAATCCTGTTTATGTGTGGTATTTTTCTTGTAACTGGCATGTTGGAATTCAGAGAAACCTTTCTGCAGCAGCAGCAGCAGCAGGATTTCATACCTCAGCATCAGCTCCTCGGTAAACGGATCTGCAAGACAACAAATACCTGTTATTTACTGGTAAAATGTCTATTTAAAATATGCATTCTCATTTTTCTGTTCACTAATCCTGTACAATGAATTGTAATAGGACCTAGAAGGTGAAGGAAAAGTAGCTGGTTGGGCCAAAGAAGGCAATTTCACATCTCTGGAGAATATTAACATGCTAAGGTTAATAAATGTTTGACCAGAGAAAGTTTCCTTACCCTTTTATTTCCATTTTATTTCTACCTTTGAAAGAAATACCAGTCCTTCCTATTGGCTGAGGGACAAGAGCCCCTGCTCTGTAATGCAACTCGGCAAACACTTACATCAGAAACGGGGAGTTAATCTCATTTTAGCCAATACCCACTGTCTACACAACTTATCTGAATATGAAGTTTACTTTGTTTAAATACCCATTACAGAATCAGAGTGGAGACAAAGAAAAATATCTTTGTAATGGAAAACTGGATAAAATATCTCTGTCATAGATAGTTTAAGTTCGAGGTCAAAGTCAAGGTTGTGGTTAGAAAGTTTGGAGGCCGTAGATTTACAAGTACAAGGCAAAGCAGGAGTGTAATCTGAGTGACTCCCAGACACGGGAATTGAATGATCCCTAATCTACCAGCTGAGAGCAAGGCAGTATCAATAAGCAAATAAATTCAAATAAGTATCTTAACTACCTTTTAAAACTGTTCTTTTCTTCTCATTATTTCATTTAAAACCCCCATTGTTCACAGAAGATATTCCAGGGTAGATATTGCTATAAACTTTTATGTACTATAGGATTGAAGAAGACTTTATTTCTCATGATTAATGGTCATAGTGAGGAAGAAGCTCCCAGGAGATTGGGAGTTAGGAAGGGTGGGAAAAGGGGGCACAGCCCAAAACTTCTCGTTGAAGAACAAAGACTGGTTTCAGAGTGCTGAAGACATATTTTTTTAATTTCTTTAAAGAGGTACTAGCACCTCTTTAAAATTCCTCTCTGGACTGTTTCACTAAGGTAAGAAAAATTAAAATTGGGGATTTATTTATGTTTTAAGTGGTTTAGTAGGAGTCCCAACTTCCTTCTAATATCCTTCTGAGCTCAGCAGGGGCGGCCACCTAAAATCCAATGGCTTAATATGGTTCTAGATCTTGAACCCTGAAACACCAGAAAGAAATGCAGGAAACTTTCTCAGAGGATGAGGCTTCACTTGCTGTTTGTTCAGACACTGAGCCTGGTGTGGAAAATGGCTTCGGGCTCCTCCTGGATATTTGATGTAGACACGTTCTTTGACATCGCAGGGACCGGCTGCCTGAGTAAGCACTAACCCGCAGAACCCAAGACTATTTTGCAAGTAAAAGCAAAGCATTTTCTTACAGTTTGTGATTACATCTTAAAAAATAAGCCAGTTCATTGCCCTGTTTTACATATGTCGATGTCTGGCTGTTGGCATTTCACTTTTAAAACTGGATGGGTATGTAGAATTTCCTGATCAGCTCAAAGGAAAGAAAACACAGTGACTTTGTTGAAGCAAAACTAGATGAAAACAAAAGCCTTATTAAATGAATAAAGTCTTTAACAAGATGCCAGCCTTCTTTTTAGATGTTCCAGAAAAAGCTCATAAATGCTGGTAAAGGCAATTTAACATCTTATTGAATCAAATAATCAGGGAGAGTGCTAGCACACCAAATGCGTAACAAATCGAGTTTTACTGCAATAGACTTTTAAAGAATTAAAGGACTACAGCCCAACAGCCAGAGCTTGTACACTGTGGGGTTTTTCTCTTTCCTTTTCATTGCTCATTGTTTTTGTGAGGAACTTCAATTAAACGTCTTTACTGTACACTTGATATCATGTAAATTTTCCTAATTTCTGAAACTTGCGTTTCCTGAATATTTTCCTCCCCTTTTTTGATGTTTAATGTGTCTCTTTTATATCTAAGTCCCTCTTGCCAATTCATGAGATCTTGCATTTTTAATGAGAACAATTAAACAAGAATTTTGTAAAAACAAGGTTTGAGCTCCAAAGCTTACTTTCATTTTCCTCTGCTTTAGGCTTTCTTGAGCATTAGGAGAAAGGCAACCAAGATTAATAAAGCTTTCCCATTTTAACACTGATTAGACATACAACTTAATATAGCTAGAAAAAGCAAAAAGAATGCTTTTTAAAAAAAATGAAAGCATGAAAATGCTTAAAAAAGGGACAAGGGAGGAAATTACTTTAATACTTACAATACAGTAAAGCTTTGGATTAGTCTCAATATTGAAATGACTTGCAAACAGACGTGACCGGTTTGCCATTAATTTTACTAATTTATATTTTACTACATTTTTTAAAAGACTTGTTTCATTTAAGTAGCTAGTCCTAAGACAAGAAATCTGAGGTGGTGGCTTACTTTTTATGGTTTCCCATCTTTCTTTAAGTTGTTGGCTTCTAAAATAAAATTTATAGACTTGTTTCATTTAAGTAGCTAGTCCTAAAACAAGATATCTGAGGTTGTGGCTTACTTTTTATGGTTTCCGATCTTTTTTAACTTTTTGGCTTCTAAAATAAAATTTAGCCATGGGGGAGAAACTACCAGACCCTCAGAGATTTTGAAAGGACACTGTAGAGAGGTTGGGGCTGGTCTCCTCTCACAGGTAATTAGTAACAGAACGAGAGGGAACAGCTTCAAGCTCCAACAGGGGAGGTTTAGATTGAACATTAGGAAAGAATTTTTCACTGAAAGAGTGGTCAGAGACTGGAACAGGCTGCCCAGGGAGGGGGTGGAGTCCCCATCCCTGGCTGTGTTTAAGGGCCATTTAGATGCAGTGCTGAGGGACATGGTGTAGGGGAGGACTTTGTAGAGTGGGGGAGATGGTTGGACTCGATGATCCCAAGGGTCTCTTCCAACCTAGATGATTCTATGATTCTATGATTTTGTGATTTGTCAGATTTTCAGGAGTACAAGTGAACTCAAACCTAGGAGCAATGCATTCTCCTGAGATACACACGGGAGAGAGTTTGGCATCTGGACTTGGTATTTTTCAATTCCAAATCCAATCCAAATGGACTTTGAAAGAGGAGGGAGGCAAGAACGGGGCATCCTGTTGATGCAACTTGTGTGGTCGTTTCAGCTGAGGGTCTTTTGCCTCTTCACCCCAGGCTGGCACCTGGAGTATGGGAAAGCCTCTGTCATCCCTTTGGCCTTCAAGTGACGCTGAGGGGGTGGCCAGGACTTTTTCCAAAGCCCAAAGGTCTCATATAGCCGGAGGCTCACGCGTTTCACCTGCTGTTCCCCATTCAAACCATATTAGCACGGACCCGTGTGGGAGGGAAGGTTAAACAATGCAAACAGCCCAACGGCAGAAGAGCATTGATGGAAAGTGTCTGAAAAATAGGATCAAACACTCATTAATTGTCCATCACCGAGGCGGCACTTCTACCTCTGTGCCACCTTTGGGGGGGCTGCTCATTTATTCTCCCTTGCTATGATCTGTTTACATCAAGTGGGCTGGCTCAGCTATCAAACAGCACACGGGCTTCAAAAAGGAATGTACACGATTCTGTATCAAAATATTTGAATGAATAACTAATGAACGATTGTGAAAAGCTTCGCCGAACCGCTCTCTGGTTTAATTCCCTATTCCCTCTGAAGTGTTTGTTTGAAAGCGGTTCCTCTTTCATGTTTGCCTGTTGCTGATAGACTTCTTTATGAGAGTTTTTAACAAGGCCATCTGTAACCTCTGACTGCTGCAGCCTTCTATCATTTGACACTAAAGCTGTCACTGCAATTCCTGAAGGTTTTAGGAAAATGATGGCAAATAAAAATTTTCGGTATTTTGTACTATTTATCCTGCTTGCAGTAAATGTCCCACATCTGATGAGCTTGGCTTATATTACAGGAGAGGGAGTTAGACTAATTTAGAGCACATTTGACCATGTAATGCTGAGCCATTAACAGATAATTGAGGTTGCTCAGAAACCAGGCTCATTCTAGCTGTAATCCTGGCCCGCTGCTCCCATCACGCCAGAGACCTGCCCACAAGAGCAGATTCTGGTCCTAATTCTCTCAGCTGTGCTGTGATTTGGTGTCTGACACCTGAACCCAAATCTTCAGAAGTTGCAATTTTTTGCCTATGGGTTTGGCAGGGATTTTAGGGGACGCCCTTTGATTGCACTTTTACAGTAACCAGCGGGAACCACTTTGAGTGTGGTCTCTCTGCTCCCCTTCATGTCTGCAACACAAGTATTTATAGATTACCTAGACATGATTTTAAAAAGACAAGGATCTCTACAGCGAGGCTCATGTGACCAGTTTAAGTCGTCTTTCGCAAGGTAAGAGGAACTGTATCTAGAATAGAATAGAATATTCTGTATCTCAGACTTTTTCTCTACACAGACCATAACAAAATTGTGTCCAGCTGACTTTGTACTGGGGATATCTAGACTGAGCAGAGATTAATCCCCCCTGCTTTTGCCCGATTCTCAGAAATGCTGAATCCTTCGCTGACTGCAGCTGGCACTGGGGCTGCATTCAGCTTCCTGAGTGGCAAATGGAAAGTTTATTTTAAATTATTTATTAAAATAGTCAAAATGAGAGGTAGCTTGTGGAAATGCCAGGTCCTGATGTACCACAGACAGGTGGTTTATGTGCTACATCTGAAAGTATTATTTTACTTTTCGTTTTCTCATCTGGACTCATTGTTTGTCAGGAGAAAACTGTGAGGTTGCTTGGTTCTTTGGGGTTTTTTTGAGTTGTTTTGTCTTGTCTTGTTTTTAATGATGTTCAGCCATATCTAAGCCAGAAATACCCACTAATTGTAAGGGTAAACATATCATAACAACAACAATGGAAGAAAAAGAATTATTCTTATCACTATGTCAGTATTATTTCAGACTGGACACTTCCAAATGGCAAGACTAGAAAGGAATCAAAGAATCCAGCATCTCGTGGCCTGGGTTCTAATTAAAATCCCTCCCAACCTCCAGACAGTCAGGACTGAAAATCACTATTCCTGCAGTTTCAAGATGACTGATGAA